ACGTGGCGGGAGGAGGAGGGGTGCGGGGGCCGGCGGATGAGGAACCAAGAATTTCGACGCCCCGAGTCTCCCAGGAGAGGCCCCCTCCTCATCTCTTCCCAGAAAGAGGGAGGGGCCGCGCCTGTCTTTCTCCGGAGCGCCTCGGCCTCTGGCCTGCGACAGACCCTGCCGCGCCATCGCCCGCCCCGGGGGCGCCCCCGACTCCCCGAGCCCCCCCTCCCCTCCAACCCGGCGCTGGCCAGGCCGCGGGGCCAAGGCCTCTGGGAGCTGCCCGGGTTGTGCGGTTAACGGGGCCGCGCTCCGGGGGGCGAGGGGGCGGCGGGAAGAGGGCCCCGGAGCTCGGAGCGTGTTCGGGGAGCTTAAATAGCTGTCGGAAGGAGTGCTAATTGGAACTTTATGCAGATGAGCGGGGAGGGGTTCGGGGAGGGGGAGGGAGGTCAGCCGGCGCGGGACCCGAGCCAGCTCCGAGCGGAGGGTGGAGGGCTCCGGCCGGACAGTGGCGGGTGTGTATCCGCGTGTCCGTGCGCATCGCCCCTCTGCCGGGGCGCTGGTCCTGGGAGTTGGGGGGTGTCCTCCCTGGCACTCCTCTTGCAGGGTCTCCGCATCCCGGACCAGAAGTTCAGTCTCTCAGATCGTCAGGAGGGGCGGGGGGTGGGGTGGGGGGACCCCCACAAGTCTGTTTCCTCCGCGGCTGCGTACTCTGGGTGTCCCCTTCTCCGAGTCCCCCGTTCCCCCTCTGCCTCCGTGTCCTCTGCTCCCCATCGCTGGCATCACCCTCTCCAAGCAGGAGTCTTGTCTGTAACTCCCATCAAGTCTGCGTGGAGGGGGCGGGACCTAACATTTCTTCCTTTGCTTTCTCCTGTCTACACCCCCACCCCCACCGACCACCCACATTGAAGGAAGCGTTTCTCAACCTTTAGAGTGCTTCGTAACCCACCCCGCGTGTTGGAATGCAGGTTCCAGGGCCCCTTAGAGATCCGATTCGGGGGTCTGAGGGGCTCAGGAATCTGCATTCAGCAGCTTCTGACCCAAGTGTGATGTCAAAGCCCTGAGAAACATGGTGCAGGGAACCTGTGGGCTGGAAAGACTGGGCATACTCCCTCCAACAGCCCTGCCGGCCTCCCAGGCCTTCCTCCATGCTCCTGACCTCACCTCTGCTCAGGGTGGCCATCTCTGCTCCCAGAATGATAGGACCAGGTGTGGAGAAGTTGCCAGGGAGGAGGGAAGGGAGGGAGGAGGAGGAGGAAGAAGAGGAGGAGAGAGAAAGAGTCTGCTCCTAGCTCTTGTTTCTCTGAGCAGGGTCTTACCCTTCCACTGTCTGCTGCCTGCTTCCCTCCCCTCGGCCTTCACTTCTCCATCTTCCTCTCTCTCCCCCAGCCTCGCCTCACTTCTCACCTCACTTCTCTTCCCTTCCTCCTCCTCACCCAAAGTTTCTGGCAAGGCCAAAGGGTCCCGGGGTGGGCAGTTAGGATCTTAGCAGGGGATGGCAGAGCCAACCCAAGTCCCCACCTCCAAAGGAAAGAGGTAGAAGCACCCTGGGGTTGGAAAAAAACAGAAGGAGGGAGGCAGGAGGAAAGATAATAACAGCGAACATGTAGGTCACCTTTCCATGGGCTATGCACTTACTTAACACAGCAGCCCAATTTAGACAGGCACTATTGCTCCCAGGTTACAAATTATAAAGAAGAAAACGAAAACAGAAAACACAAGGGATGTTCAGAGTGGTTAAGTAACTCCCCCAAGGTCACACAGTAAGCGGGAGAATAACTAGGTTATTCACCCTTTTGCTTGCCCAGAATCATGTCTCCAGAGGCTGCTGGGTAGCTGTCCCAGACCTGCCCTCCCTGCCCCTCCCCCAGGGGCAATGGATTGGGAAGGGCATCATGTCCAGAGATGAAAGGAGACGCTCAGGTTTCGGAACATCTGACAGGTCTGGCTGGAAGCATTAAAAATTCATGTGGAAACTTGACCCCTGCTGGACCTTGGGCCTGCCACCTGGACTGTCCCTGGCATTGTGGTCTCTCAGAGCCTGGTGGGCGAATTTCCCTTCAGCAGGGTCCTGGGAGCCCCAAGTCTTTGTATTCCACAGGAGGGGGGTTCTCTTATGGATTACGGAGCTAAACTCAGGAGCCAGCAGCTCAGAAAGCAGCTCGGAGAACCCTGCTCCCACTCCCAGTGTAAGAACCTGAGAGGCTTAAGGGCTTATAAACCTTGTCATCTGGCGGCCTTTTATTCCTCTCCCCAGATAGATGGATGCTCACTCTCAGTTCAGGATACTGAAGCCTGGCTGTGATTACCAAGTGGCCAGCAGGAGGCAGCCATCTGCCTGGAGGCAGCCTGAGCCTGAGCCTGAGCCTGAGCCAGCTCTGAAGGACAGTAAAAGAATCCCTATTGATAAGGTTAGAGAGATGCAGCGTTGGCTTTGGAGTGGGCACCTGAGGAGAGTGAGAGAGGGTTCCTAGTTTGGGGAAGATTGAGGGACCTAAGGGGGAGTTCAAGGTCAGTTATAGGCTTCAAGTGCATAATCATTGATGGCCAACATGATGCAATCATTCTAGTTGGAGTGGAGGTTTGGGACATGGCCCTGAGACAAAACTAGAAAGGCTGTTGGTACCAGACTCCGAAGGATCCTGGATGCTTTGCTAAGGTGTTTTACCTTTAACCTGTAGGTAATAGGGAGTCATTGTAGGTTCCTGAGTGACACAGGGACATAATGCACATTTCAGCGAGCCTGAATCTGGCCACCATGGCAGGCTGGTGGGAGGGAGAGAGAGACTGAATGTAGGAAAACTGGAGAGGAGTTGGTGCTATTTTCTCCTGCATTTCTAGGCATGAGGTAATGAAGAGATGAAGCAGGGAGGTGGAGGGAGAATGGAAAGGAAGGGATGGACTGGGGCTGGAGAGGAACCGGGCGAGTAGATAGATGTAAGAGATTAGAGAAGGGAGGCGATAACTACATTTAGGCTGGGTGTCAGGAAGGCAGGAGAACACAGAATGTGGGTACACCCACAGAATGGGGGAGGTGAATGAGTTTTGTTTCTTTTATGCTGGGGAGTCTCGGACAAGTCCCTTCTCTCTGGGCCTCAGTTTCCCCATCAGAGCATTGGACTGGATGGCCGTTATAGTCCCTCCCATTTCAGGGTGTATGAAAGTAGTGAATCTGGGAGGTTTGGAGAGGCTGGGGGTCTGTGTGTGTGTGAGATCTCTGTGGGTGGCTCTGTGTAGGGTCCTGTGTGAGCGGCTGTGTGCATGTCAGTGTTGGTGGTGCATCTGCCCTTTGTGGGACCTGTGGGTGTTGGCATGCCTGCACGTGTTCTGTAGCTCGGCTCTGTGGGAATGTGTGTGAGAGAGCGTGCGAGCGTGGGAGTGCACGTGATGGGCGTCCGTGGGTCTGTCTGGGCTGTGGGGGTGAGGGTGGGGGAAAGTGGCATCGCTGTAGGCTTCTTCCTGAGGCTCACACACTCCTCTTGCTTTCACTGTTCTGAAATAGCATCTGGACCAA